GAAAGCTGAAGAGTTTTAATAGACAAACATAAGCGGAAATATAAAACTGTACTTAAATAACTTTTATGTTTATCAAAATACATAAAAATAGTATAAAATAATATCACAAAATTGCATACTTTGGAGTAGTATACTTAAGACTCGTCTTCTCCGATTAAGGCCTATTGAATTTTTGTGAATAAAATATTAAATCTATGCATTCAAAATTGTCCACTTTCAAATCCAAATTCTTCTTACAACTAACAGTGCCAATATCGCTACCAGAGCAAGGGAACTCGACTTGGACTGACTAGAATTAGGATCTACGTAAAAATTGTTCACATATTTTTCGAATATATCTTCCATTAACCGTTTCGAAGTATCTGCCTTTATGTCAGTTAAGCCCCTCAAGCCATCTGTCTTGTCGCGGAACATAACGTTATTTCGTTTATCGAAAACGCCATACATTGTAAATGGCCGAGTTTCTGGACGGTAGCTTTTGCCAAAGAGATGATCTATGTCACGCAAAGAGTTATAGATTTCATTGCTTCGTGTCAAAGAAGTGTTGTGCGTCATTAGATGACCGCGAGTAGTCCAGTGCATGTAGCAGTACTCGAACTTGGAGTGACGTTCGTTGGCGCCGTAGGGACACAAAACGCGGAAGGATTTATGTCCTGAATCTCGCACCCATTTTTCGGTCAAATTCCCCAGAGTATAGTTTTTATAAACTGCCGAACTTAGAAAAGCAACTTCGCCACCTTCGGCTAAGCAACGCAATGCGCCTTCATCTCCTCGGTAGCTGTCCGGGCATGTGCGGTGGGCATGCGGTTGCCAAGTGCAGGAATCGCGATGGAAGAACAATTGTAGCGAGGTAATGCGTTGTGTGACATTGGCTATCGTATCCTGCACCGACAAATGAGCCGGTCCCTCATATGAGGGAAGACATGCTTTAGCTCCTTCAAGATCAGAAAATGATTTTAGTTTTGAGTCCTTATGCACCACTGCAATTATGGCATAGCGTTCGTGCATGTCTTGTGAGAATTCGTAAAGTATCGGGACGAGATTGTAGTCACGCTGTGCTCTAATGCGGTTTTCATGATCGACCAACACCACATCAGCGGCCTTGAATTTAATATCGTCCATGCAGGAGTCAATGCTGTCAGATCGTATACACTGAATATTCGGCTCGACCCCGTACACTTGGGAAGCTTCTTGTAGCCAAGAACACTTAATATGTTGAATTATCGACGTGGTGCAATAAACGATCGAGCGCGGTGGATTGCATTCGGGGAAACTGTAAGCGCTCTGAAAAGCTGGTGCCTGATCCAGGTAGTCATCGATGGGAATGACATTATCAAGTGTAACTATCTCTACGTGGAAGTTCTCGAGCAAACTGAGTAATGCGTTCTGCCAGCTATTGGGGTCGTCGTGATTGAGACCGGCTACTAAATTTTGGATCTGTGCAGCGTGAGTGCGCCGGGCAGCTATTACCGGCCAGGGCTTAGCTACCCAAACACATGGGCGTTCGGTGGTGATAGGCTGCAAATGGCCGTCGGCGCAGAGATAACTATACTCAGAAGGATCTGCCTGCGCCTGTAGTCCTGTTAACTGAAAAAATAAATGACTTGTAATAAATAAATTCTAGATACATATGTACATATGTATGTATGTACGTTGAATAATATTTGACAACTTACGCCGAAGTGGCTACGAACATCATCCAGACGCGCCCAAGCAACGTTTCCAACACCATTAGTGAGACAATACAGCGCACCACGACGGCCCCAATGCTTGTCACCTATATCACAACGGTATGAATCGTAGCACAGTTGACAAAATGACGGGTAGCGGTCCTTAAGTATTCGGTCCTGTGTGGGATCAGGCACCCATGGGCCGGCTTTGCAGCTGGGCCCAAAGTATTTAGCCGAAGCGCTAATGCGGTCTTCTGTCAGCGAAATGTCCGGATTACATGATTTTGAGATCAGAGTTGACTCAAAGTACTACAAAGTAAAAAATACGGTTTGAAAACTTAAACAAGTACGTGTATACGAGTATACGTAGGGCCGTTTTTCAAGTAACCTGTAACTTTAAAGCTCACTTTATATTTAAAGGTTGGATTAGAAATAAAGCTATATCTAAAGTTAAGCATTTCTATTATCGGTTTTTGACGTGTGAATGTTTCTTGGTTGTAACCCAATTTAAAACCGATAGTAAAATGGTTTACTTTACACACAGTCATACATGCTAATGCAACCTTTAAATCTAAAGTGAGCTTTAAAGTTACAGGTTACTTGAGAAAACGGCCCTTACTTAGGGTTTACACCGGACAATACTGTCATGACAATAGCAATACATGCACACTTTTTCACTAATACATGCATACTCTTCCAGGCATGCGTTTTTGACAACTAATACGTATATCTTCATTATCTTCACAGCATTGTCCAATTTAAACGCGCCGTTAGTATGTCTAACGTACATTGGCTAACACTTCAGTCCAATGGTTGCCTAGTCCATATCCAGGATGACAGAGTTTTGCACCGCGTAGATCATGTGCTGTATGTATATTTGCCTCATTATCCACCACAGCGACGACTTCATACTCGAAATGGGTATCATGCGAACGCATTTCACTCGTTACCAAAATTTCAACGCTCGCCCAACGCGCTGCTATAAGCTCTTCTGCCGAGAGCACACCAAAGTGGGCGGTTCCTTTGTGTATCCGTCGAACACAGTCCAGACGATCAACTCCTATCACACATTCAATATTACTAGTTGATTCCAGAATTGGGCAAAACTTTGGGGTTTTGCGGTATGTGCCCCGGGATTCGACGACGCAAACGCGTACTTAAAGAAAATAGAAAAAAGTGTTATGACAATTTTAATAATAACTAGCAATAGGGTTTTTTTTTTATTGAAATACAAAAAGCTGATAAAAGCCGTAATACTAATGGAAAAAGCTTCCGTTGAAGTCCATAGCTTAAGTAAAAACATTTGAACGCCAATACATCATATCTCAGAACTGATGCCTTAATTTTTTGGTTCAATATTTATCTTATATACATAGCACATATGTATGTATATACATTCATAAATGGGCAAAATTTATTTAACCAAAATTAAATTCAACTAAAAGCAACTCGATTTTAACTAAACACAAATTAATTTCTGATAAACACAAATCAGTTTGACCTAATCGCAAATTATACAAGACCAAACGCATTTTTTTGCGAAATAAGAGGCAAAGGTTCGGTATTTGACAATTTGTTAAATTATACAAACAGCTCTAATAAATTGTATTCGTTTTTACTTGTTTAGAAGTTCCAAGATTAATCATATCGCGTAGCATTTTTGATTTGTACAAAAGAGATATCCACAAACAGATAAAAGCTCTGCAGACTAAGGCCTTGTGAAGTGAACTACGTTAAGGTCACGGATTTTTGAAAAAGTATATAATTGGAAAGTTCTTAAAATGCTTATGCTGGCATATACTTATTTTCAAACAAATCCTATGCATACCAATTTCGAAACAATGGGCCTCATGCATAAAACGATAGGTTACAAATTCTTGAGCTTACGCTCACTTGATCAGTGCAAACTTTTAGTCTTAACTTAAGCTCGCTTTTTATGCATGAGGATCATTGTGTATTATTTATTTGATTCTGAACTTACAGCCTTATATTACATTTACATTGAGCCCAAATGCGTCATTTGGGCGAGAAACCTCAAATGCGAGGCCAAATCACGCATTTCTCCATACAAATTCACATTTCCAGAATGACGCATTTCGACGCATTTACACAAAATCACGAAACAAATGCGTTCCAATTGCCGTACTATTTTATTGAACGCACTCAGAAACAAAAGTTCCACAAAAGCTTTCGTTTGTCTTTGACATTTGGAATTTTTCAAACACAAAACAAACACAACGAAATAAATAAATCTTTGAAATTTGTGTGTAAAAATTGTTAATTTATACAAGAGCTTTACACATTTTTAGTTTAATCAAAGAATAATTGCCTTTTTGTGTCCAAAAAGCGTTAACAATATAATAAATGTAGTGTTTGTTTACATACATTTTGTTTTTGTCTTCCCTTTTCATTTGATGAGAAGTCAAAGCAAATGCGGATCAAGCAGTGTAAACACCTTCAAATGACTGATTTCAAATTACGCATTTTGGTCCAATGTAAATGTAATATTACTATGTATCACGAACGATAGGCAACACGAACGATTCGTCTGCAGAAGAATGCTTCAAAAATTAGCCAGTTTAAACGTTACCAAGACGATTGTAATGTAATCGATCAAAAGCAAGACGAAGACGACGGATAGAGTAATAACATCGCAATCAGAGACGTTGTCGTCTGCATACCAGGGTTGCGTGATTTTGATTTAGTCAAATCACAAATCTATAAATCAAATTTATTTCCGAATTGAAAGTTGCATCAAATTCTAAATAAATTTTATTTGTGATTTGATTTGTCAACCAAATAAGAAATAAATTTTATTTGTGATTTGCTTAGTCAACTAAATAAAAGGCAACTTATATTTGTGATTTACTTGGCTAACCATATAAAAGATAAGTTTTATTTGTCATTTGCTTCCTCAACCAAATAAAAAAAAAATTTTATTTGTGATTTGCTTGGTCAACCTAATAAGAAATCAGAGTTATTTGTGATTTGATTTGTAGAGCCAATCATTTGATTTGTGAGTTTTCAACTAAACAATCCTCTTTTATGCATTGCAAATACTATATTCAAGTACCTTTCAAGATCGTGTTCTACGAAAATTTTCGGGATTTTTGGAACTACTTCGAGATTTTCGGGGTTCTAGGGACCATATCGGGATCTTCGGGACAAATTCGGTATTTTTGGACTGTTTCGGGATTTTGCGGACTAATTCAGAATTTGTGGGACTATTTCGGGTTTTTCGAGACTACTTCGAGATTTTCGGGGCTCTCGGGACTATATCGGGGTCTTCGGGATGGTTAATGTTGATGTTGATATTGTTGATGTTTTGGTTTCATTGCAAATGAATATTAGACCTGAAATGATAGCTTCAAGGTTAGTCCTTTTATTAAAACAAGAAAAAGGAAAGGTGTGTAAAAAATGAAACTATGTAATGAGTATTAAAATTATAGTTAAAAAAAAACAACAACATGCTTTTATTACAATAAGAACTAAAAAGGAAAAACAAATACATTGATTTAAAGATTCGTTAAAGAAGGATACGAAGTTCCCTAACTTGATGTTATTTGACCTTTTAAACAAGCTTAATATAGGATTAAAGTAATCGGCACGTAGTCATAGTCGAAATTAAGTCCACTGTAAAGTTAATTGCAGTTATTTTTTACAGACATCCAATTCGAAACATACAGCACCTTCTTTTTCTCTAAATTATTCTTACCCCATTGCAATGGTAGACTGATGTCCAAACTACAGTGGCGGCTTGTGGCAGGTGGTTTTAACCAAGGTGGATGGGAAAAACATCAATATATATGAAAAAGAAAATTAGACCGCCCATCTCGACCACTCTCGTAACTATTTTCCTAATCCATCATAATGAGTAAACAAAAAAATCAATCTGTGAATATCTACGTCTTATGTCAGTTTTTAGATGGCGTGACAATGAAAAAATATGTTTTGCATACTCTAGATTACAATGTCCATGAGCGGATGCTTGAAACCCTTATTTTTTTTTAAAGATATACCACGATATTAACAACGACGAAAACTCTAATATACGAAAAGTTTAGAGCGAATTGCTAGCAACAGTCGCTTTGATCTCCTGTAACCCTAAATGCCTTAAGAGAATCGACTTGTTGTCTCATAACGATACGCAGTAGAGCCCTCCTAACAATATAAGATGGTTATGCATACGAATGCACCAATTTTTTTTTGGACTTTTGGCCAGGGTTTGACAAAAATTGGCCACTGCAATTTCAGAAAATTGCAATGCCTATTTATCATATTGCTCGAGCGTTAGACGATCTAGAGTCCATACGCCTAAGTAGCCCATTATGCCCATTTAGGTACTTAAAGTTGACATTATAGACAATGTTTATATGTAAAAAAAGTTATTAATGCTATAATGCTTTTTGTACGTTGCACATTAATGTAAAAAATGTGTAATTAAAGCCCATAATAAGACGGAAGAAATAATTTTTTTTTCATTAAGTTTCGTTAAAAGGTTTCCGAGATACAGCACTTTAAAGAAAGGTATGTATGACGTTTTCGTAAAATTTAAGTCCCGTGTAAATAGGCAACCCTACGTCATATCGGCAAAATATGCTGCACGTATATTCATATCACCTAGGCCTTCAATCTCTTCAATTTTCATACAAATCCTTAGAGATCGCGCACAGAGGTGGCCGTGGTGACATGAAATGCCTCGTATGTTACAATGAGTTTTTTTCTTGGGGCGAAATTATCGCCACACAAAAATATTTTGTAATTTTGAATTTTACTTTTAAACTAGAAATCATGATACAATAATTTTTAGAAGGTAGTTTCACTTCTTCTTCTTATCCGCCATGTTAGCTATCTGACAGAAAACGTGTTTCGTATTTTTTGTTGTACCAACTTTTTCAAAAAAAAATCCAGCTTTTGACGTTGGAAAAATAAAACAAAGAAAAGCCAAACATATAAGTAGAGAAATTTTCGAATATTCTGTAATAATTTTCTTCATAAAAAATTAACTGCTGCTTTCGTGGATATTGCAACACACGGAATAGATGTATGGAGTTTTGCTTTGCTTTAAACAGGCAAAATGTTGTATTCAAAGTTTTTCGGAATACTTGAAGAAAATGGCTATAAGAAGTTTTTTCCTCTCCTGTACAATTTTTAAATTGGGACTTCGCAACTTTGCACTCTACGCTAGGGATATCCTCGAAAAATTCAATGACTTGCAAAATCTATATTTAAAAACTAGTATTCCATCAAAATATCACAATAAGTATTTTTATTCAAAACATTATCTAATAGTTAGTCTGTTCCTTTGAACTTCGGACTAAAACCTGTGGAACTGTCAAACTACAATTTTACGCTCTCAAATGAGAGTAAAAGGAGAACAGATGCAGAAGTGCATAGGAACGCAAAAAGCACTATTTCCTGTAAAAACGTCAGACGGTTTGTTTACATGTCATTGGTACTACACTGATTTGGCTGAAATATCACTAAATAATTATTAAAATCTATACATATTTAAATATTTCGTTGTTTACTTCCATTTTTTAACAAATATAAGGTTCTTTGCTTTCACCGCTTTCTGTTTTTGTTTGCACATGTAAATCAGCTGATCGTTTGACACTTTTCATGAACTTACAGGAAAAAAATATCCGGACTAAATCCTGTAACTTCTGACTAGGAACAGTTGCTCAGTTACTCTCTCAAATGTGTTCCCACTTACAGGTTTTATGTCAATAGGAACGACTTCCTGTAAGTTCTGACTAAATCCTGTAAACCGGACTGCTATTGGAACAGACTAAGTATCTAAACCACTAGTTAAATGAAAGCGACGACGAAGATAAAATTACGTTTCCATGGTTGTCGAGTCTACTTAACCGGAATGACCCAGATCTAGTATATCTGGCCAAGGACTGTCACTCCAGCTGATTGCTGTTACATAAAAAAACAAAATTAAATTACTTAAATATGTTAAGTATTCCTCAGTTTTTCGAAAAAATTAACGGTATGGATGTACATAAATTGTGAAAAACGTTTTCACCTTTTTCCAAGATGGCGACAATTTCACAACCCCGTAAGTTAATATCGCTTTTTGGAAAATGTAAACTTTCGAGATTAAACTATTGGATCTCACAATATTTAATAGCAAATAAGTAATTAAAT